CGGTTTCCATTACGATCGGGATTTAAGTCCTCGGTTCCATACGAGGATGGTGTCACGACCCAACCCGACACTTAGAATTAATCAAGACTGGTATAGTCGGTCAGATGGTGGGAATTAAATTTTTTATATCCATCTACAATTTAAGAGATGAAAAGGCACTAATCAAATTAAATTAATGCAGCATATTTAAATTTATCTCGGTACTGGTTGTCTGCGTCTTCTATAAACATTGTTCATTCTATCACTCATCTTTTAATTACTTAAATTAACAAGAAAAATTAGCTTAAGAATAATACTGTGCTCAATAAGCCAGTGAATATTTATATCTCTTAATTACAGTAATACAATGATAAAATAAAAATAACATGCATTTAAGTTAAGTTTTATTAAGTCAATATACTTTTGATGTTATTCAATGAATCTTACTATATCAATAACATACCAATATTATTTTGTATCGGTACAACAGTCACATGAGCACCGTTTAAAAATTGTACCATTTAAGGTACTTCAATATCAATATCTTTTTTTCATTTACATGCATAGATACTTTAGTGTTCATTCACTAGTACCCCAAAGGGGTGACTCCATCATATAAGCATTCTATTAAAATCATTATTTACTGAATATATATTTCATCTTATTTGTGTATCAGACAAAATATTTATAAATCATTTAAATAATGTTGTACACATATCTCATTCCTATAATATGAGCAAAAATCGCTAGAATGAGAGTTGGGGGAAGTCTCTTGTATTAGGATGTTGAAATCACGATTATTGATGCCTTGCCAAGTAATTTTACGCCGTTGAATGAGAGTTTTAGGATAGCCAGAAATGTTGTCTAGACTCGTAGTTTCCTAGCTTACTTGTCATAGATTCTTATTGGGTTTTATAGTGTTGAGAATTTTAGGGCAAAGAAATCGCAAGAATGGACACAAATCAAGAAGAAAACACAGATGTACCATACTACAGAAGCATTGCCCCCACACCCCCAACCCACAGCGAAACTCCCCCCAATTGGACAGATGCTTCGGCTCCGCTCCGCTGGCTCGCTCCATTCTGCGCCGCATCTGTCCCTTATCTGGTATATGAGCCAGACCTAACATATAGCCTCCATCTCCTTGATGATGCCGTAGGGAAATCTCTATTAGAATGTTGTCGCCATGGCAAATACTGCCAAGCTGGTGATTCACAGTTAATATTTGTTAGAGAATGTAAACCAAAAGATGAGCAATGGCCGGTCTGATACATATGCCTGAGAAAGGGACGGAAATTTGGTATTTCATCACCAATATGTTTTTCACTAATCTGATATAGAACCAAAACCCAATAACTCGTGATTTGCCTATTACCTATTTGATAAGCCTATAGTCTATTTTCTATTAGAGAAAATACTCTCAAGAGTAACTATTAAAAAAATTTCTATAGCAATATTGTAAGGCAGGAATAAAGCACCTGACATAATTTCTCATCTTTCTTGTCCATTATCATCTATAGAACCTATCAGGATCAGACTGGAGGAGCATCATGCCGCCCCAAGCGCTTTCCTTCCCAAGCAACTATCATCCATCTTACAAAAAATCTTTAGACGGCGCTCCTAGCGATACGAAAGGAGTAGAAGCATCCTCAAGCATGTCCTCATCTGAGACCAATCCTCTCAAATTAGCCGAGGTGAGCCAATTTATTCGCCAAATTACTTACAAGTACGTGCATTTATGATTAAATCCGCTCATTTGTTTGGTGAATTAGGGGCCGGAATCTCTGAAACACCCAGCGGTCGCATCCTCGACGTTGATGGAACTGACCACACGTCTCGACTTTTTCAAAGAACGAAGGTCTCAGCTTTTGGAGCAGCTGCATAATCTGGAGCTGAGCCATGGAATTTCATCATCTCAAGGATTTGCATATAATCCTTCTTCCCCATCCTGGAACAGTCCTAGATGAAGTGATATACATGTATTGAGATTGAAGGTTTCTCTTCCTTGTTCCACCAATTTGCTTGTGTTTTGAAGACTTGTTAGGGCTGTGTCTTATGTGACCACTTTTATCAATGTAAATTATGTGTAGCCTTCTTTTTCTTCATTTTTTTATTTTATATATTTCCCAGAATTTATTGTTTTGTTGTCCTTGAATAGCACGGTTATTTTAAGGATGTTAGTTATATGTTCTTTTCTATAAAAAATTTATGGCTTTTTTGTGAGTATTTTTGGACAGGTAGTAATACTAATTTGGGGCCTTTACATGCATCCCACAGATTTCTTTTGTATTTATATATCTAACACCTAAAGGTTGCTTTTTATATTGATACCACCCAAATTTTTAATATTACATAAAATACCATCAATTTTACTTTTATAGTGATACACCATTTAATGCATATGTGAGGTTGTTTGTATGTAAAAATTGAATTTTAGGTGTTTGGTACATGAATACATGAGAATTGAGTGGTATGTATTTAAATCTTCCTATTAATTTATATAGTTGATCTCTTCTGTGTCGTATACCCTTATTTGTTGGTTGGCATCCACATTGTATGATCCCTTAGGTCGGGGGTTCGAATCTCCTCTGACACAGTTGGTCTTAATGATCTTATTTTGTTAGGATTGAATGTAAATATGACACTAAATAGGATGCAATGGACAAAAAAAGATTTATGTAGCCGACCCCAGTTTGTGGGATAAAGGTTTTGTTGTTGTTATTGTTGTATCTAACACCTAAATTAACATGTATGCCACATTATCCAAGCATGATGTTTATTAAACTAATTAAAATAGTGTTAGAAACATTTGGGTGGAATAATTAGATGTTAGATTGAAAATATTAACTTGAATTGAGAAAGCTTGTGAATGAAGGAAATTAAAAATAATTCACAAACAGGTGTTATGCTCATTATTCAAAAGCATTCTACATATAATAAACTTAGAGATCAAGACTTTTTTTTCCCTTCCAAATAGATTCTAGCCATAAGGATTCCGGATCACTTCAATACTAAATGTGACACAACATAATCGAATCAATTTTTCAAGTGTTGAAGTGATAACATCAATTGTTGAATGTTGCAATAATCAAATTTTAAAGTGACTTATTTTCTTGTTTTATTTTGTAGCTTTTCATAGCCTTTTTTTTTTTTCTAATTGCAAGATGGCATTGAACGGGCATGTTGCTTGATGAAAAATTTGGCTAAATCAATTGTTGCAAGAGTTAACATGTTAATTTCGACATGATCTTTTGTTCAATAGTGGGACAAGTTAATGAAGTCTAAAAGTAAATTTACAATTTCTTGCACAAATTTTGGTTTATTTTGTTGTCATAATTAGCATTTTAGAGGGTGATCCATCAATGATTTAGGCAACCACTTCAATTCAGCTAACAAAATCGTGCCACTAGAGTGATTCATTTTGCCTCTCAATGCTATGGAGTTTGTCCTCTTATTTCCTGAAAATAAAAATTCTTCTAAAATATGAATATACACTTAAGTTTGCACATATGCCAGCATTATTTAAATTATGAGTGTCCTATTGAATCAAAACGTATGCACATTCTTGTAATGGCCACGACTTTACCTCCGAGCACTCTTTAGCTATTATGTTTGTGTCTAGTATCCTTTCCATTATGAGAAACTTAGCCATCATATCTTGCCTCAAACCTCCCTTATAGCATAGCCAATTCACACTCATTATGTGTTTTTGAATAATCACTACTTCATACTCTAAATTAACTATATTTACTTGTCCATATTATATTAACTTCATAATTACTTAATAAATAATCATGGATTTGTTCTTTAATAGAATATGACTATTACATAATTACTTACGTGATGTACATAATATTTTAGGATAAGTTGAACCAAAAATATCATTCTAAATCTCTCAATGTATCTTCTTGAAAATAAAGATCCACCACCTGAAAAATCAGAATGCAATATTTCTCAGTGATAGACTCAATGTGATGAAAAATTGTCGATGCTTTTTTATTCCTAAAATGGACTATATTAATTCTTCATAGTAATCTCTAACATACGATCCCTACACCAATATTCTATACAAAAATAGTATTTTTTTCCTTTCAATTTTAAGTAGACTCCTAATATTCTTGAGTAGTGAATAATCAATTTATAGACATTGGGCATATAATTAAATAAGTGATAATTATAATAACAAAATTTCAAAACTTTTATTAAAATTCTAACCCAGCACAAGCCATCGTGACTACATCTAATCATTATAAAAGGTATTTAGTTCATGCTTAAGGAAAAAAAAAGAAGATAATATATAAGACAAAACATGATTACAACAAAACCTAAATGAAAGAATAATAAAGATTTAGCAAATAACTTTTAAATAGTGCATATGATCTTCATCTTCTTCTCTGTCTCAAAACCTCCTTGATCCTCTTTAATGGTTGCCTTCATAAGAACCTTGAAAAAGTCTATAAGTGCTCAACAACTTCTGTCGAGAAAAAAGGCATCAAACCTGCCTTTAAATAATCTAAGTTGTCTTTTCATTCGCCTTAAGAAATTTATTAAATATGGTTGCATGGACTCCTATAGTTCGCCTTAAGAAATTTATTAAATATGGTTGCATGGACTCCTATAGTTCGCCTTAAGAAATTTATTAAATATGGTTTTATGGACTCCTCCAATTATTTTAAGTTTTTTATGCTAAATTTAGGACAAATTTGAGGCTAACATCATGTCAATGCCAAAGTGTTAAGCCAAATGTCCTAAACATGCTTCTACTATAGTTTAATGTACATGCGCTTGGCTCTCAGATTCTACTTTCCATCATGTACTAGCATGGAGGGAATACATTCCATTTAAGGTGAAATGGCATGCTAGAGTTCTAAATTTCTTTTATTTTGTAATGAGATATGATATCAAGAATAATATATCATCTTGAAAGGTGAAAATATTGCCCAACAATGAATTTAATTATGAAATGATTGTTTCAAGGCTAAAGTCTACGTTACAAATTTTTTTCCCCTACTTGTGTGAATAAAATATATTTATTTTATTTTGGGATAAATATTCCCTAAAGTGACAAGCCTTTAGAGTTAATTACCCCTTAGAAAAGGTAATCTCATAGGAAATCTATTGATTAAAATAGTTGCTCACTTTTATCAGCAGATCATAAGTTTGGATTTAAGATTAATGTTTGAGATTCAATTGGGATTAGTTAAAATTGTGCATAATTCCTTTTAGAAGCTAATGGAAGAAAAGTAAGCACCATATATTCAAAGATTTAATGGCACTTCAGAACATCTTTTGGTTGGGCTTTAAGTTTAAAAAAATTGAAAAAAACTTTTAGGATTGAATTGTCCATTTTTTAAGGATTTAGGACTTATAATTCAACAACATTAGATCATGAGAATGCTTAGAACCTAAGCTAAGATGAGAGCTATTGATACAAACAGGGAGCTTAAAGCTATTATAAGAGAAACACCATCCGAATTTCAAGGGGAACAATAACAATTAAGATGTAAGAAACTAATAATGGGGTAAAAATTAACCCAACTATATAGACAATTGAAATATTTAGAGCTTTAGCAACCTGGGCCTGCCTTACCCACCATATTTATTTTTAATTCTCAGGTAGCTTCATCATCCCCTATGCCATATGAGAGACATTCTTCATAAAAAGTTTATGTGACTTATGGGCTTCTGCCTATATTTAAAACAATAGGATTAGAATAAGTCCACCCTATTATAGTGATTCTATAGTTAGTTGAATATCTTCTTACCTATTTTAAAGGTTATAGAGGAAAGTTAATGAAGTCTAAAA